TGTTTATTTATTTTGAGAGAGAGAGCAAACGGGAGGGACACAGAGAGGGGGAGGGAGAGAATCCCAAGCAGACTGCACTGTCAGCACAGAGCCCGACCTGGGGCTCGAACTCACGAACTGTGAGATCATGACCTGAGCTGGAACCAAGAGTCGGACGCTTAACCGACTGAGCCACCCAGGCGCCCCTCCAGTCAGCCTTTCTAACTGATGAGGAGGTGATAAGTCCCGAGCTGAGCTCTCCTTTTGTACCCTTGCCTGGAGCTCGTGGGAACGGGTTCCCCCCCACCCCCCCCCCCAAGCCTTGGTGGCTTGAGGCTCTGCTGAGTAAGTCAAGGTGCAGGGCCACATCAGGGAGACCTAGCGGGGTCCTGCGTGGCTACGGCACAAAAGCCATTATCGGAGTCAGGAGGGCACCAGAAAGCCCTCTTGCTCAGCTATGCCTCAGGGCGGTGTGGTTAAATTCTGAGACCCGAGTCCGGAAGTCCTTTTTCAAGCATCACCTGTCCCCGCATCTCTTATCCGTAGGAATAACCTGAGCCAGTGGGAGAAGGTGATCCGAGGGGAGGAGAGTGCCGTGTGGGTCTCGTCCCAGCCGGGGGCCCACGAGCCATCCGAGAAGCTGCCAGTGAAGATGGGGGACTGACCGCTACGCGACCAGCTGTCCCACCTGAAGACGCCCGTCCTGCTTCTTTGACTTTTCTTCCTTTTATTTTTGGGGGGGGAAACCTACACCTGGTAACTGGGCTGCAGACCTCTTCGACAAGGTGACATCGGGAAACACGGCAAGCGGATGACTCCCCGCCAGTCTCGTCTGTAACGCATCGTAGACGGTGACCAACCAGGACCACCCCGGGGCCAGATCGGCTGTCCACGTGACCCCGTTTGACCTGTGAACTGGCCTTTTCTAATAGGCGCATATTGCTGAGGCCTTAATGGGATAGGACAACAATCATTCAGAAGGGGGTACTTTTCCATTGTATCTTTCTAGTGAGGGGTTAAAATGGTACTACTCTGATATTGTACTTTGGTTCTAACACCAATGTTGCTTTGACGTTGTTGGTTCTAAATAGGAATTTTTACATATTACTGTTGTGAATGTTTGTGTGTGACCTACTTGTAATTAGTGTGAAGTGTAGCAGACGGCCTCAGGACAAGCGTCATTGAGGGGACAGCGTAAGAAGTGTCTTTCTGCAATCAGCGATGGACGGTAGTCAGACTCCTGTTTCAGAGCCTCGTGAATTAAAAGTTAGGTGGACAAAAGTGTGTTCTTTAGGTTTATACTGAAGGGCTTAGATGAATAGGTCAAACACTGAATGAGGTGGACTTTCTGTCCTGAGAAAAGAGGCAAGTATACACCATAACAAATCTCCGAACCACAAGTATCCACCAAAAAACGGCAAAGAATATTTTTTAGTTGGTGTTGTTTTTTTTTTTTCCCATCATTGTAGGCAAATTTTCTAAACCCTTTGCATAAAGAACAAAACAAAAGCCAAGCATATGAGTCTTTCTTAACAGAGAGGTCTTAGGGGATGTAAAATGTGAATTTTAATAATGATTTCTTTATATTTTCACTTGGTGTCATTGCAAAATTTGAGACTCACACTCAAAATGAGAGGTTTCTTCTACGAATTCTTTCATTAAAATACCATACGTTTCTCTTAAAATCACATTAAACCGTGAAATTTAAGTCGTGTGTAATTTTTACTTTGATCTGCCGTGCCCGCTTCCCGCTCGTCCCCTTTTGTGCTCCTCAGTCGCACTCCCCACGCTCTCCGTCTGTGACCGGGAAGTGGAACCCAGTGCGGATACTTCGGGGCGAACTTCTGTCCTCTTTCCTCTGCTCGAGGTCAAGGATCTACACCGCAACCTGTGATTTGGAGAGTTTCTTCTGTATAATTTTGGGTAGACTCTTATTACTGTACAACGTAAACGTTTTGAAGAATACACAAGAGTCTGGACCCCTTCGTACAAGGATTACAAGCCAGTCGCTTCTGGTGCCCGTTCATGCTGTTGATTTTCAGCACCATGGCAAGGTCACCTCCAAAGCTGTGGTTAGTCCCGACCCCGAAGGAATTCGAGTCTCAAGAAGTGATGGGCTGATTCATAACAAATAGCTTAGCTACTGTTCCTGTGGCAGGAGACTGGCATATTACTTTCAATAAAATCAATTTTGGAAATACTCTCTTACATATTCAGTGATGTACACATTATTATCCATATGGTTTTTGCCAAAAAGATTAAATGTTTCTACAACACGATTTATGTTGTAGAAGAGTTAGCTACATGTAAACGTTCTTATTTTAGAATTAACACTATGTGTTCAGTTTCCCTGTGGGCTTTTGAAAGTTGCCATCTTCCCTACGTGGGGCTCCATTTGCTGTTACGCAATACGAGGTAAAATGAAATACCACTGTAACTAGACACACACGCGCGCACGCACGCAGATATACACACATGTATGAAAGGACATATGTATAAGGGAGACAGATGCAAGACATCAATAAAAAGTAAGAGCCCCTTTCTTCAAAAACTGACGCGTGTTGGAAAATGTATATTGTTTGATAAAGAGCGGACTAGAAAACATCCCTTTTCACGTTAGTGCATTTACAGGATTGGATTCTAAAATGTTGCATGTTTTTCCGCACCCGCATGTATGAAACTGGACCCACCAAATCGAACCTCACTCGCGAGAATTAGTATAGGCATCTAATTTAACTCGACGACTGAAATGCAAGGGACCAGGGGAGGAAGTATCATTTAAGATGGGTTTAATTAAAAGGATCTTAAAAGAATGCGTGAATTGGGCTTTTTGATACAGAAAACAGTCATGAGGGGGAGGAATCCTATGGCTATCTTTCCATTGTAAGAGTGCCGTTCGAAGATTATTAGAGAAAGGTCTCGTATTTTGGCATAGCCAGGTGTATTATGTCAGGTGATGTGTTCTTTGAACAACTTTCCAAAGAAATGTACGTGGATTTATCGATTGGCTGATTTCTCCTAAGGTATCTTCATGATCAAAGCGAAGTTTGAACAAAGGACTACGTTCTAACGTAAACTATGAATATTCCTTAGTACTACTTCGGAATCATAGATTGACCTAAACTGGGCCCAAGATGCAGTGGTATTTAGTCAGTAATCTGCTTTGGAAACAATGCAGTTAGGAGTATTTTTATATTTTGGCAGACAAACTTTTGAGTTCTGTCCTCATCTTTCTCCCAGATCTTTTCTTCAAAGGGCAGATGGCTTTAATTACCAGAAATTTTGACAAGTTTCTCATTAAGGTGGTATTTCATGTTGGGCCAAAATTTCCCTCCGCATAAATTTGGTAACCAGCTGTGAGTATGTGTAGCTTGTTCGATTTGTGGAAATTGTTAGTGGTTGTGCTGATGGATAATAGACACAGCTTTGTTGTCAAATGCAATTCGTACATCATCTTCCCCAGAGATACTGACTGTATTTTTTAACTAGAAATTTTCTTGGAAATGCCTGCCAGCAACATGAAATATCGAACTTAGGCACTGGAATAAAATTCTAAAAATCCCAAGCATCTTATTAATTAATAGCTGACTTTGGTTTAATTCATTAGAAAAACTTAAACAAATATAAATGGATGTGGAAAGTCAGTCTCAAAAGTGGCCCTTTTATGGGCCGGATTGAGATCCACATCCCAGCCCTCATCACTCTGTGAGGCTCGTCAGAGTCATGGAGGAGAGACGAAGCTGAATTTCTCAGCACAGCCGTCCTCATTCTGGACGCTTCCCTCCGTGGGAAGGCGTCTGTGCAAATGATACGGTGCCGCTCGAGGTGACGTGTTCTCACGGTGACGACGACAGAACTACTTGGAAACTGGATTTATTCAGCGTAGGTTTCCTCTTTTGAGCATGCTTTTTAGATAGCTTTAGATTCTTTTTTTTTCCTTTTCCACAGTTAATCTCAGTGAATTTTGCTTTATTGGTATGATTGGGCACTCTAGATATGTTTGTACGTGATACACATAGATGCATAAAATCCTTAGCTACCTGGATTTTGTAATAGATTTAGTTTGACTATTACGTTTCTGGTCTTTTAACTCAAAATTAAGGTTTGAGCTTTAATAGGACTAAATTCTTCACCATGCCTGGGCCTGTGCCTTTATTTTAAACTCTGTGATTTTACGTCTTTATTCATAGAGTTATTGTTTTCTTCTTCTTGCTTAATTATAAGTAAAAACATTTAAAGGGACACATCTATAGTTCATTTGATCAAATTGAATGAATAGGAAGGACCGTTCTCTCCTCAGATTTCTGTCCTTTATTTGATGTCCTTCGCACACACCCTCATGACTGTAACCAATGAACCGTTCAGATGCAGGCTTTTTTGCAAGCGTTTCCAAGAACTGCGACACGATTACGGTGTGATTTCGTTGGGCTTCAGGTACATACGCATGACTTGGATTTTGAAGATCACTTCTGTATCTGTTTCGGACCTGTGTTTGCTTTCTGCACTGCGCTGGTTTTATTTGGGGCTTAATTCTTGAAAGACTCCTTCCTTCGGTCGCACTAGTGTGACCCTTTTGGCTGCAAGTTATCAGCCTGGCTTTAAAAACCTCTGTGAGATGTAAATTACCCGTTCTCGACAGCCCCCCTTCCCCAGCAGTGCGCGGCTGTTCCGTTTTGCCTTCGCTTAAGTATTTACCCTGAGACGCATTCTGCCGATTTCTTTCACCGCTTCATCTTAAGTTCGAATTAGTGATCCCCCAGGCAGTGCTTCACACTTTGTGTGTTTTGTCCTTTTTTTTTGTACTGGATATTTCGGTTGTCTGAAGCATTCGATGCATTTCCGTGACGGTAAAAAAAAAAAAAAAAAAAAAAAAAAATAGCAGAAAAGAGAAAAACGTTTCATTTGTGTTCTGGTTCTAAAGTAAAGGGGTGAGACAAAGAGAAGGACGTGAATGTTCCCGAAGGAACAATATTCGAAATTCAAAGAAGCACCACTCCCTTCGCTCGCCTGTCAAGTTTCCGCCCCCCTCGGCCCCTCGGTGGACCACGGGGCTGTCTACCCAGCGTGCGGTGTGACCGACCTTCACAGCGAGGGTCAGGAAAACGGGAACTGGACGCGGGCTAGACCCGAGCGTGCCTCTCCCGGGGCGTCGATGAGTGTCACCCGAGGACCCGGACCCCCAGTTAGAGCCCAGTCCGCCGTGGCGAGTAGAGACGTCAGTTGGCTGGCGCGGGGGGTGCCAGCTGAGGGTTTTGAGGTATAGCTGCAGAAGTTTAAACGGACCGTTTTCATTCCTACCACAAGTTAAGGTTGAAAAGCGTCCCAGCCGGTACTCCGGCCCACCTGAAAGATGACCAGACCCCGGGCGTTGCGACTTGTGGGTGTTTTCTTTAGCCACTTGAACGATAAGCCAGTCCCGTGCCGTATCTCACACAGCCTGAGTAAAAGCCAGATCGGCAGGATTGTTTCCCATATGATCTGTCTGTGGTGTCTGTTCTGCGTATCCATTTCGTGTGCGCGTGGAAAGGACGATAGACTTCTTTGTAGGAGGAATGTCTATACGATGCCTCCACCGCCTCGCCGGACCCGACCCAGTGACCCGTGTGAAATAACGTGCTCGCCCAAAACACTGTGAAAGTTACCCAAACTTCGTGGAAATGCAGC